AATATTCCCCTTCTTGACTGCAAGCTGGAAGCTGAATGTGGAGAGCTGGAAAGCAGGCTTTATTTGCTGTCTTCTAGTTCTGCACCCTTCCTCTCTTTGCCCCTTTCCCCCAACTATTCCTTGCATCCAGAAGGGTCAGGCCCCTCCCTTCCTTTATACCCTCTTAATGAACACATTTCCCCCCATTTTCAGGGGAAGGACTTTCTTCTCTTTACCATGAGGAAGGTTCATATTGTAAAGAATTGCTACATGGATTCGGGCCACCCTCTCTCTGGGCCAGGCCTGGAGTCCTGCCTCACTTGTCTGTTAAAGAAGCCCTCAAAACCTGTCCCGCTCCTGCTCAGGGTGAGAAACCTGATTTTACAAGGAGAAAAGCAGTGAGGGAAAAACTGATAAATGCAACTGTATGTGACAACTGATTATTAATCCTTTGTTCCACGCTTGAGGGTCTGTTTTACATTCTTTCCCTTCCCACTCTCACTGGCATGTAGGATTTGGGCAGTGGTTCCATACTGGGAGAGAGTGGGAGTATCTGGCAAGGGCTTGAGGGTCACCCTCCCCACCCAAAGGGACTTCCTAACTCAGAAACCCAGCTTTGGAATCCAGGAAAGGCAAGACATTCATTGATCCTTCTCCCTGGTGGGTCCAAGTCCCTTTCTATTTCAGATGATAGAAACCTTAACTCAATCTATTAAGCTAACTAAAGAGCCTGGTTTCCAGTTTGGGTTTTAGGCCTTGCTGAATCCAGGGGCTCAACCAGCTCCACGAGCCAACCTGTGGCAGTGCCAAATTGTCTCAACCTCTACCTCAATAGGGCCAGTGCCAAAAAGAGGCCACCTGATCCTGGGAAACCACACAGACCCCTCCACTAAAAGTGACCAACTGTCTGGTTAGCTGTGGACCAGGGGTGGCAGGAGAAGATTGGGTCCTAGCATTTGGAGGGGTGGGTTCAGTGTGAAAACTAGGTCAGTCCCAGGCAAGTTGGGACACTTGGCCACCTTGGCCTGCAATGACATCTTATTTCTGCACTATTTTTGCCAGACTCTTTCAGTCCTTTTCTGCACTTACCTGTTCTTGGATCTAATGTAGGAATCCTGAGTTTGTTTTTGCCAAGCCTTGACCTCTGAGACTTCAATGGAGAAGGACTTTTAGTCCTGCTGTTGAGGTTCCTGGTGCCAGAACAGTGTGCACTGCTTCATCCTCATTGGGGCATTCACCAGCCCAATTAATAAAGTTCTGTCAGATGTGCTCATGTGCTGTGCACCTGCTCCCACAGAGAGGATGGTCCTTCCCACTGCTCCCTCACTCCTTCCTCCAAACTGCTCCTCCCTCTGCTCCCTTGCAGGGTGGGTAGACAGTGCCACTGCCTACTCAGGTCCCGACAAAACTCCCAAGGGCCATGATGGGTCCTGCAGGACTCCTATACCCCATCTGTGGGTCACCAGTCCAGCTGGTACCTTCTCAGCTTCTACAGGATCAGTCCCTTTGCTTCACACAACAATTACCTTCATTCATCAACTGCTTTCCCCCCCTGTCAGGCTCCACGTTCCCTACCTCTGCTAGAGGGATGGGTCTTTCTAAAAGATTAGGATGACATCCTTGAAGGCTCTTGCTGAATATCTATGCTTTCTTCCTCCACCACAACTTAGCACATACTCTTCCTAACTCATATGCCTGAGCAGAGCAAGGATGACAAGTGTCTGGCCCTTCTCTGCCCAGATGCTATGGCAACATTGCTAACTGATCACAACTCACAGGAAGCCTCAGCACCTTTCCTCCCATCCTTCCAACTGCCCACCCCAGTGGGTCAGAGTTGGCACCGAGGCCATATCTATTTGGAATGCTGGTCTTAACTTCTTCCTTCTCTGGCTAATCCTTAAGCTGTCCTTGAGGTCTCGACTCAGGAGGCTCCATGTCACCTCTGCCAGGAAGTCTTCCCTGATATGCTGTTCCTCTTAATCTGCTTTCAGTCACACCCTGTGTATAATATATCTATATATCTCAGAATACTTCTTATGCAACATTTTAATAATATACTTGCTTGTCATACTAAAATGTGACCTTTTTGAAAGTGCATGAAATGCCTCAGTTATCTTCATAAAATTTTAGGACTCAGGAGAGTGAGTTGAAGGACCCAGGGTGACCTAGATCAGTACACTATGAAAGGTGAGGGCACATATGACTCACACTGCTCAGAAGTCTTGATTGTACACAAATGAGTGAATGAATGGGTGATTGAATGAATGAATGAAGAATAACCTGGTCGTGCCAGGTTGTTTTCAAGGTGAACGAATCAAAAGTTCATTAAGCCTCTTTGAAAAAGAAAATCAATTTGCTTCTCCCTTCCCCATAGCTGCAAGAGAAGGTCATAGTTCTCAGCAACTTGCCAAGAGATGAAGTTGAACCTGTTTGTTTCAGTCAGTGAGATTGGAGAGAAAGCATTTGCCTCACCTTCCCGTGAGGAGCAGTGTGAGTCATATGTGCCCTCACCTTTCATAGTGCACTGATCTAGGCTGCCCTGGGTCCTTCAACTCACTCTCCTGAGTCCTAAAATTTTTTCTAACTTATGTGCGTGTGTATGCACATGTATGCGCATGTGCGTGTCTGGGTGTATACTTACGCATGTCCAAGCCACCTAGTTATATGCAGAATCTTGTCAGTTATTTGAGTGCAGGTGCATTCAGCAGGGGATTATCAATATTTTCTCTCCACTTCTCTTGGTGCCATGTTCTTGGTCTCATGTTGGAAAGGAATCTTCATGGTGAACTGTGGCTGCTACTAGCCTGGTCTTTAATACTTTGGATCTATTTCTCTTTTTATTTCAGAAACCCAGTTGGAGATTGGGAATTCCAATTCAAAAAGATATTATTTCCTAGAAGAATGCCAAAAGAAAAGGGCAGTTTGAGTGTATGTTGCAATGTTACACTTTTATCTGGATCCTCAAGGAGCTACAGAAAGGTCTTTGCCTTTGATTAAGACCAGGTTTCTGCTTTCCCGGTGAATGCTCTCCTTCTCACTGCAGATCTGCTGTCCTGGAGGTCTCTAGAGAGGCCCTCTCTGCCTAGAAATGGGCTGCAAGGAGCAGAAAAGCCCTTGGAGGCAGCAGAATGCATAGGGGACATGTGATGCTGGGAGACATGGTGACACTGGGGGACACAGTGACATTGGAGGACACAGTGACAATAGAGAACACTGACACTGGGGACGTGGTGACACTGGAGGGTATGGTAATGCTGGGGGACACAGGCACCCTCTTTCCCTTCTCAGTCCCTCAGTAAGGGCCAAGAAGGATGCACATGATCACAAGTGAAAATGGAAGTCAGTGGGAAGAAAAGTTAGTTCTGTAGGAAGACACTCCTGGGTAACAGCGTCTGGCTGCTGCAGGGATATTAGTGAGAGGTTTAAGAAAGAAGCTTTAAAGGGATTAGTTGGTAGGGAGGAGTTTGAAGAAGCTAATTATAAAGTTTGTACCAGAGATGAGAGAGGATTATAAGGCCTCTTTGTGCACCAAGATTTTGAAAATGAGAGAAGAGTTCTTTTCCCTGAGATCAATGGGGATAAATAGAGAGCAAAGGTAAGGAAGGGAGGTGTGAGAACTGCTGAGCCATAAGTGGGGTTCAGGGCTGCAGCAAGGAAGACCATGTTTACTTGCAGTGCATACATCTATGAGGGTCCTGCTGTGGTCTGAGCCACGTGGAAGTGGCAAAGACTCCTCACCTGATCATAATTCATCAAGTGTCAGCTTACTGACAGGATTACGCATTGTTATGAGGCTCTGTGAAATATGGGCATTATTAATCATTTTGTCTTTCCTGGACCTCTGATCTATGCTAAGTGTAGGACTTGGAGCCCTGGGGAATACAGGTTTGCCTCCTAGGCTTGGGGTACTTGGCCAAGAAGGATACAGGCCTGGGATATAGGAAATGCTGGGGGAGCTGTGCTGAAAATGAGGGTTGTCCCAGACTGGGGGGTTGGGGCAGGCTCCACGAAGAAGGGAAGCCAAGGCAGGGTGCAGAAGGATTGGGGTTGCCATGCGAGGAGAGCCATGCAGCCAGGAGGCCTGATGGGAGTGGAGGAGAACTGTGGGAAAGAAGCAGGAGCTGAGGCTTGAGGAGGCAGTGAGAAGAAAGCCTGAGACACCCTTGAATTGTGGAGTAATGAGCCTGAGCTGCTTCTGCAGATGCTGGAAAACAATTTGAAGGGTTTGTCACATAGAAATGTCCAGGTAAAAACTGGGCTTCAGGACAACTTGGCCAGCAGGTGCACAGAACACAGCATAGCAACCTGGACAGGGAAAGCCTGTGGGAGGCTTTTCCAAAGTCCCAGGCAAGACAATAGGGCTTCCCTGAGGTGGGAATAGAAATGAACAGTTGGACGAATGGGCTTGCCCCTATCAAGACTGGGCTAAGCCCCATGTTGATGGCAGTGGGCTGGGGTGCTCTCCCATAGAGTTCATCATGCATCTTTGAAACACTTTGGAGGGATAAGAAAAGGGGGGAGGCATTCTTTTTACCACAAAGCAAGCATCACTATATAATAAAGAGAAGACATGGTGGCATCTTCTTTCAGTTACAAGCCTCAATGTCTGTACTCCTGTCCCTGAGGGGTTTGGTACCAAGGCATTCTGCTCAGCTGGCCTGAGACACATGAATCCAGAGAGCTGGCAATTCCCCTGGGTTATACATGAGACCTTGCACTATGCAAGGCCACTAGGGTTGCATGTTACAGGTGAGATCCACCAAAACACAGATTATGTCATTAACCTCCTAAGTCACAAAGGTAGTAAGGGGGGGTGGGATTTGAATTCATATCTGTCCCATACCAAACCTTTGGCCTTCCTTCTATTCCATCAAAATGGATTAACCATTTTGAGAGGTACAAAATTGGGATGGTCAGGAAATACCTCTGTAACAAATGGGAGAGGGGAAACAAACTCCCTTGGGTTGCTCTCTGACTCCCCTCTTCTTCTGATCCATTTCAGCTGCCTGGGTCTATCTGCCATGAACAGCACCTTGAGAGATGCCCAGGCCCCGAGCCACCGTGAGTGCCTCCTGCCTTCTGTGGCCCGGACCCCCTCTGTCACCCAGATCACGCCAGCCAAGAAGATAACCTTTCTCAAGCGAGGGGATCCCCGGTTTGCTGGGGTTCGCTTGGCTGTTGACCAGCGCACTTTCAAGAGCTTTGGTGCTCTGATGGACGAGCTCTCTCAGCGGGTGCCTCTCTCCTTTGGGGTGCGCTCTGTCACTACGCCCCGGGGCCTGCATGGCCTCAGTGCCCTGGAACAGCTGGAGGATGGTGGCTGCTACCTCTGCTCTGATAAGAAGCCCCCCAAAACACCCAGTAGGCCAGGATGGCCACAGGGAAGAAGTTCATCTGCTCAGCAATCAAGAGATTTTGAAAGTCGGTGTGAGGCACCAGGAACATCCTCTTCCTGCAAGGGTCCTAAGGCCCCAAGGAGGATAGTGCTGGTTAAGAATGGTGACCCTAGATTCCAGCAGACAGTGGTTCTCAGCCATAGAAATACAAGGAACCTGATGGCCTTTCTCAGCAAAGCTTCAGATCTTTTGCATTTTCCTGTGAAGCAGGTGTACACCACGAGTGGGAAAAAGGTAGGCTATTGGAGTGTGCTATTTCCTATCTGGACCTTAGATGCAATGCGGGGAGCAGGGGGTGGTTACTCCTTACAGCAGGACACTGATTGCCCTGCTAATAATCAAAGGTGAATTAGAGGAGTAGAGACATGCAGTCAGTTAAACAAGCAATTATTATTTGTATTTTGGCTACCATTTAGTGAGCGCTTAGTGAGTGCTAGACACTGTGCCTTGAACGCTTTCATTATTTTCTTATCCAATCCTTCTATTAGCTACTACCACCTATTTCAGCGAGAGTTCTGTGCAGAAAACAAAAACTCTTCGAAGTACCTTGAGCAGAAAGTAATCTAACACAGGGCATTAAGGGATTTCTGAATCTTTGGACAGTTGGAGGCATGAGCTCTAAGCTGGATCTACAGAAATAGCTCCCAGGGTTCTACAGGAAGCTACTAACCTGGCTGAAGCTACTGTGATTTTTGAGTTCAAGAATACTTCTCTGTAGGGCATCCAAGGTTATAAAACTAGGGTCAGGAAACTGCCACCACTGCATCTTGATGCTCTTGACATGCAGGAGCCCTGGGGTGCCAGGTCTAGCCGCTGCTGCCTCGACTGCTGTGGCCTCCTGGTGCCCACACATCTGCTTCACAGCAACAACAATCAGAAGCAAGAAGAGATGGTGTCTGCCTCACTTGCTTTCCCAGACTTGATCAAGTGCATCTAATTGATGGAGAACCCCATCTGCATATAGCTCAGACCATGAAGGCTAGTGAATATAATTTTTTGCCTTCCCAGCTTCTGCAGAACATAAATGTACACCATAGGTGGGCAGGATGGAGGTGGCTTGATCTATCCCACAGTCTCACCATAATCTAATCCTATCGCTATTGAACGCTGTTGAATCTTATCACTATTTTCCCACTACTTAAATTTACGAGCAACAGCTACAGCAGCATGTTCCCACCTAAGAGTGTAGCTGTCTTTCCTACAATCAAACATATTCATCTTCCCCTCAGAATCACATCAGCAATATACCGTCCATCCTCCAGGCACAAGCCCATCTTTTGTAGCCTCTGTCTTAAGATTTAACTATCTAGTCCACAGCCACCAAAATATCTTATATGAAGTGCTAGAGGGAGGTAAAGGCAAAACAGAAAATTGATTTGTGCCTAGCAGAGCTGTGAAGAAAACTAGGTTATCCGCTGCATCGCCATTGATAGTATGAGGTTTCCTTCCATGGTCCATTTCCTGTTCCCTCTGCCCTCTGCCAGCACCTCAGCTGAATGTGGTGATGGATATGGAGGAGCACTGGACCACTTCCACCACCTAAATTATGGTGTGTTTACTATGTGCTAGTATGTGTTACATCATTCTTGTGGACTCTGAGCCCTTGGAGGTCCTTCCTGAGCTATTGTGGTCTTGTGTTAATTTTTACCATTGAATATGGAAGCCACAGAAAGCACCCAAGGGATTCCTGGGCTTTAGATGACTTTTTCCATGATCCTATTTGCATAATAGCAGCTCTATTGCCCCTAACCAAGTTTGAATAGGATTCAAACTCCCATTCTTAGAGACCCATTACAGAATCAATCACCCCATGTGACACAGAACTCCCCTTGTTGCCTGTTGGTTCATTGTTGCCAGGATCCTCATATGGCCAAGTGACTGTCTCAACTTCCAACTTCACGGATCCATTGTCGTGTCTCCTGGTGGGAACATTTTCCCTTGCATCTACAGACCTTCAAACTAGCAGAGCCTGAAGTTGTTGGGATGGGAAGTAAAATATTTGCAGCTAGGTCATAGGTGTAATAGTGAAAGGAGCTGCTTGCATTTCCACCCCTTAATTCCAAAGGTACCTGTTGTCTGTGGAGAAACAGCACTGTACTATATGGTGGTTACCAGTCCAGAGCACATATCCCGTCCTGCAACATAATGCCTCAACATTGTAAAGTGATGCCTTTCAGCTGATGCCCAAACTGAGCTTCCCATGGAATGATCCACTGTTCTATAAGTTACAGCTGCTTTTGGGTAATAGGGTATATGGCTACACGGTGAATTCCATGGGTGTTAGTGCATTGCCTCACTTCTTTTGCTATACAATCAGTTCTTTGGATAGAAGTAATTTTCATGGATTATGGCAATGATGCATGAGGTGTTCAGTAAGTACATGGATGGTGATACTGGAAGAAGGATGTGGGCAAGGAAGGAAATATATATTTAAAATTAGTGAATTTAAAATTCCAGTGAATCCACATTGCTTACCCTCCCCATGAGGGAGGTGTTCAATGTCATTAGCTTCCCACGAGATGGCTGGCTGAATACCTCAAGGTTTGCTGCAAACTTGCTCGCAAGTGTTTTGGCACAAGTTTAGCATGGATCTCTGTTCTTGGCAGAGGGTCCCCCTCAAGCAGACTTGGCAGTCAGATCTACATGAATAGGGTAGTTTATATTTCCAGTTCATGTTATTTTGCCACTCTGTTCATGAGCCAGTTGAGCGCACCTTGGGGTGGCTGGAGGAAAAGAATGACTGACATCCATTGGGCAGGTCATTTGTCCACATGATTATCACCTTCTGGTGAGCATCCAATGGGACTCAAATATTCTCACTTAATGGACCCATTCTGGGAAACCCATTTACAGATTCTTCTCTAGAGTTCCTTGTCACCAACCCTCCAGTCTTCTTCCTTCCAAGGCCCTATTGTCAGATTGAACTGCTAACTACTGCCTATGCATTGCCATAGAACCTCCTGCCATTGCTCCTTCCATGAAAAGTAACCAATCAAATCACATTGTCCCTTGTGCTTTCCTACCCCACTGCCCTTTAAGGTCCTGCAGATGGGTCTGTGATGCTGCAGCAGTCAACTTTTGCCTCATGTCAGAGTATCCTGTGAAACCATCTGAAACAAATCAGCATTTTATTCTTCAGTTAACTGGCCATAGGGAACTTCCCCAGGAAGTTGTAAGTATGCAGGCAGGAGAGATGGCAATGCAGCAGAAGCTAGTGACCTGGGAGTGGGACTCATGCAATTTACTAATGCCTCAGTTCAAATGAAGTCTGGAGCCTGATCTAGTACATACCACTCCGTCCTGATGATGGAGTGCTGCTTTGACATACTTGTTTATGGTTTGATGGAGCATATAACAGTCATTTCAATTATAGTTCAACAACTAGAAGAATAAGTTTCTGCGTGGGATGTTTGGCTACAAGAGAAAAGAGATTCTTTTACAGTAATAGTAGAAGCATCCAGGTCCTCTGGCCATCCTGAGCTGAGATTTTAGACCTTGAGCTTGCCATTTTCTTTAAGTCAGAGAAGCTAGCCTACTCCATAGTCCTTGTAGCTCTCATTCTCATTATAAGGGTCTATCATGCCAGTCAGTGATGGTCAAAGTCTTGCTCTCAGTAAGCATTCATCCTACTATCAGAACTAATCATTCAACAACCTGTTTTTATCACTTTGTGCCATAGGCTACCAGTATTCCATTGTGACCAGATTGTCACTGCCTTCAAACCCAATCTGGTCAGATAACTATTCCAATATTTCTATCCTTGAGGGTCTACTGCCTACAACAACCTCTGATATCGTACATTGAATCAGTCATACCTACAGAGGAAACAGAAACCTCTGTAGGTATCTTAAGCATGAAGAAAATAACTTATACATGTTTCAATTATACATGTATATTGTATACAAAACTTACACATTAGGGGATCCCTGGGTGGCTCAGGGGTTTAGCCCCTGCCTCCAGGATCAAGTCCCACATTAGGCTCCTGCATGGAGCCTGCTTCTCCCTCTGCATGTGTCTCTGCCTCTCTCTCTCTCTCTCTCTCTCTCTCGTCTGTCTCATGAATAAATAAATAAAATCTCAAGATTAGAAATCTGGAGGAGAGAATAGGCTTGGTTTCTAGAAATAATTTCCAGAGCATCACAGAATTGACCTATCTGGGTGGATTGGATGCCTCTAACATGATCAAGCAAGTGGGTTGTTGGGGTGATGTTCCTGGAATAATTGAGTTCAGTATCAGTCCACCATTGTTCTGATTCCAGACCATTGTTCTGGTCTGGGATCAGATAGGTCATGTGACACTGCTGTCTGTTGATATTCAGAAAGCTGGTGATGGGGTACAGGAACAATGAGTGTGGCTTTTGCCATCTCAGCTGCACATGCCCCTTTTCATATTTGACTTTTTTTCTTGTGGCAGCAGTCAAGAGAAAAAAAAAAGATGGCCTCTGCTTCAATGTCATTTCTCCTAGCTTGTGCAAGTTCATCTAACTGTTGGAAATGATTTCATGGTTAGAATTCTAGCTGCAAGGGAGCCCAGAAAATGTGTGTATAGAGCTGTGTACACTCTGCATTCCTGGAAATTACAACAGAAAGGGAGTAAAATAGAGGTTGACTAGTCTAGGACATGACATCTACTGCACAACCTCATGAGGCAATTCATGCTATCGTTTCCTTTGTATAGGTGAGAAAATTGAGGGACAGAGGTCAAGTAATTTGTTCATATTTGCATAGCTACCAAATGATAGAATTAGTATTAATGATTTCAGAGTCATAAGAAAACTTCTAAATTATGGCACATTTACTATGTACCAGCATGTGCTACATGCAGAGTATATGAGAAACAAGGCAGGGTTCTTACCTTCAATTAGCTACAGCTTAGTGGGTAAGGGGAAAGGGAGACAGCAGGTACAAAAATAAGTTAAATGAATAAAAAAATATCAGCGTATTATTATATAGACTTACACCAGAACTATTACAGTCTCTGTGAACAAAATGGTCTTATTGCTCCCCAGGGCAGGCTGTGGCATAATTATCAGTTTTTAGGTCTTCAACTAAGTGAACACTCTCAATACACTCTAAGTAACTTTCTTTTTTGTGTGTGGATCCTAAAGCTTGACATTTTTTCTAGAATGGGAGCACCATTTCGCCCTGAGTTCTTTATCTCCCTCTTAGAAAATATGATTTCTTAGAAGTATGACTACATCTATAAATTCATAGACTTGGGTCATGTTTGTATTTTTGTGTTGGACTAGAGCTCTAAATCAACAAAGAAATGTACCCAGTAGTTCAAAACAAACTTCTAATTAACTAGATTGAAAGATATGGTGTCTAACTAATTTAATGCCATTTGTGGAGAGAGGTAGCAAGAGTTCCCTTTTTCTCATTTCCTTGCTAATGAACACACCCTTCTAATTTGAGAAAATAAAGAAGAACAGATTCAGTCCTTTGAAGATGAAATTAAATCCCCTAACACTGCCAGTTACTATATAATGTCATAAATAGTACAAAGTCTCACATATACAAGGGCCTCAGGTCCATGTGAAATTTTTCTAAAAGTAGGGACCTATTTCTTGGAATGCAGTGAATGCTCAGCATCCAGCCCAGGATGTCCTGGGTGGCAGGAGGGAAAGGATGGCACAAACTTCTGAGCAGGAGCTTAGGGAATCACTGGGGGAGCCTGTAGAGAGAGCAGTCTTGCCCTTCTCTGCTCCAAAAAGGCTGAAAGCAGAGGCAATGGGCTCAAGATTATACTGGAAAACACAGATTAGACCCAGGAGAGAACTTTGTGTGGGAAAAGAGTGAGATAGTGAAATCATATCTCCTTAGGGAAGCTGGAGGCCCGTCTGCTCTGGTTGCTTTTAAAAAATACTTGTTCTGGAGAGTGCAAGTGAGGGCAGGGAGGCAGGCCAAAGACTTCTTGAAATGTTTTCCACTTGAGGCATCCAGAAGAACCCCTAGGAACCTCTGAGGAAACCACAGGCCTCATATACCAGGTGGAGGGAGGGGTGTAGGTGGAGAGGAAGGTCATGGTGGAAGGACCTCAGCCCCCAGCTAGTTATAGAGATACTATGGCAAGCCAATAGGATCCTTCCCTTGAATCAGAATTCTGGAATGATATGTGCAAACTTTACGAAAGGGCCAGAGTGATGGGATTCTTTCTTTATCTATGTCTCCCTGGGCAGAAGATGGGTTCTGCATACTAACTCAACACTCTCCTTCTTCAGGTGGACTCTCTGAAGGGTCTGCTCCACAGCCCCTCAGTGCTAGTATGTGCTGGTTATGAGTCTTTCAAACCACTGGCAGTGGAAGATGCCAGAAGATATGGGACTGAAACTTTATCTGGGCAGACTTCAAGAAACAAAACCGGTGAGTTAGTTTTGGCATTTCTCCAAATTTGTTTGCACTGGATGGTGGTTCAGTAGGAGTGGGCATATATTCCTCCTAGATAATTTTAAAAACCTGCCTTTTGGCCCCAGTTCTTGGGTATCCCATTTGTTTTGGGTCACCCTTGCCTTTTCTTCTTTCTTAGTGCCATAGACCTTAATTGGGTTGAAATTTGGCTGGCACGTGAGAGAGGGGAGTCTAGTATTTAAAAAGAACAGGGACTAGAAGATCTTTAAGTTTCTAGGATCCAAAATAAATTTTATTAAGGACCATAGTGGGCATGACATTATGGAGACAATGGACCATGGGTATGTAGCATTTGCATCTTTCAAGAGTCATGACTCCCTTAGACAACAGAAGAAGCCAAATGGACTAAAACTTGTGATAACCATCTATCCTTCATGTATTCGTCTATCTATACATCCAGCTGTATATATCTCCAAAAAGCCTACTATGTGCCAGAGTGTAGGTGTTGTTATTTGAAGACACATTATTTTCAAGGCATAATTAACAACTACAGGTTGAAACTTTAAGCAAAATCATTGGAAATGGACAAATTTGGTGAACAAACAAAATAATATCCTTTGTGAAAAGCTGCTAAGAAATGACAATAATGGTTTTGGTGATCACTGCATGCCAGGTGCTAGAGGTACAAAGGCCTGTTAGCCACAGAGCCTCCTTGGAAGGAGCCCCCAGTCTCATTAGGTGCTTATGGAAGAGCAGAACTTGATAAAACCTTCTGTCCAGACAGATTCTAGTGGGCACATCTGTTTTTTTGCTCGCCATAGGCTTAGCCTCCACTAGCTTTTTCCTCTTGCTAAGCATTAGTTCGGGAGATGAAATGAGAAAGTACTAAAGATTTCATCCTTCCTTGGGATCACTTCTCTCTTCCTACAGTGGCTCTTTTTTCTTTTTTTCAAGGCTAGAGTGCAGGCTTGACTATCAGGGCTTAGTATTGTGTATCCACATCCTTCCTTGCCATCATTTATCAACTCCAAAGCTTGATGAGTGTTAGAATGATAAATCACCACTAATAATTGCAAAGCATTTTTACAGTTTACAATCAGGCACCTATGCAGCAGCTTATTGATTTTGCTTCCTGTGTTGGGGGTGGGCATGAGCAGGGCTAGGAGTTAGCTCTGGCTACTGCTGCTCTGCCTTCCAACTCTGCTGTTTATCAAGAATCTACTTTGTGCTAGCAACTCTGCAGAAAGCTTTCTATGCATTGCCTTGCATCATCAAAACAAACCTGCCATTATTATTTTACAACTCAGTAAAGAGGCTCTGCCAAAAGCTACACAGCAAGGAAATGGCAGCATTGAGACTGAATTCAGATCTCAAGTTCATCTCACTAGATTTTCTGGTTCACAAATTGCAGACTGTGTATTCATTCTAGAATGGTTTCTGCCCTTACTTTGTGGTTTTGGAGGGTGTTTAACTAATGAAAGGCTCATGATTAGCCTTTATTCTCCTACCCTGAAGCTTTCCCTAGTAGCTCACTGTCTTTCCTCTTTTCTCTTATTTTCATTGTGTGCCAGGAGGCTGGGGGCCAAAGGCCAAGCAGAGTGTGATCCATTCAAGGTCCAGGTCAGGCAGCCGGCCACGGGAGTGCTCCTTGCTGTCAGAGAGGTCTGGTCTCAGCGACGCCCCGGGATCCCTGCATTGCGCCCAGATGGGCCCTGCTCCTGACGGACACCCTCAGGACGTGCCTGCCCACCCTGGCCCATTGGTGGCCAGTGATGATGTTGAGAAGAAGGTCCGCATGAATGAGGATGGCAGCCTATCTGTAGAGATGAAAGTCCGCTTTCACCTACTTGGCAAGGATGCAGTCTTGTGGTCCAGGAGGGTGGGGAGGGCCAGTGCCCTCCCGGTAGCCAGTGAGGGGGTCCCTGTCCTGGAGGAGGTGGACTCCCTCCACTGTGTGTGGGAGGGCCACCTTGGGGGCTCCTCAGAGCCTGGGGCACAGGGACTGGGGCCCTGTGGGGCAAGAGGATATGAGGAAGCCTTGGGCCGAAGCCGGTGGCAGCCAGGGTCCAGGTATGAAATCTGGATGAACCCCCTGTACTCCACCCAGGGAGATGGGACAGATTCTCGGAGGAGATCCAGGCTGACCCAACACTCCCATTCCCGGAGGCCCTGTAGCCAAAGGTTCACCAGCAGGAAAAGAAGCAGCAAGGACAGTGTCAGCCCTGCCTCTAGTGACAGATGCCCCAGAGACTCTGAGCCAAACTCCTCATGCTGCTCCAGGTCTCCAGGGAGCAGCATGGGCAGCTGTGACCTACAGTCAGCCTCTGGGGCTGTCTCTCAGAGAGGAGCAGGGTGGGAAGGGGGTGGCCCATCCAGGACGAGTGAGAGCCCAGGTCCACAGGGAGCAGGGCAGGGCAGCAGGGAGCACCACAGCCGCCTGAAGGCCCAGACCCAAGGCACAGCTGGTGCTCTTTCTGACTCCTCAGGGAGTGCTGGGTCTCATGAGGAGTCTAGTGAAAGGGGTGAGCAACCCCAGGGCTGCCCAAGCAAGACAAGGGCTGTGACTACTTCCCGGCCAAAGACCACCCAGAGGGAAGGTCTCAGTCCTCCCACAGTGAGTCCCTTGTTTTTGAGGGATGAGGACTCACAGGAAGAGGAGAGTGGACAGGGTACCAGGCACTCTCAGGCTAAGGATAGGTCTGGGATGAGATGGCACCTGGCTCTACGTCATTCTGGCTCTAGGGACATTGCAGGAAGCTGTTCTCCACCTTCTGCCTATGCCTCAGTCCCAGGCAGGAGAAGAAAGCAGAAGGGTAGAGCCAGTGCTATGTCCTTACCCAGCCGAGGGGCTCAGAAAGGCCACCCCAGGCAGCATCACCGCCCACTTGACTCACCTGTGCCCAAGAAAATGCCTGGACCTCCCAGCAGAGCCAGGGCCCACCCAGATGGCCCAGCACCACACCTTTCTGAAAGCTCACCTAGTGCCAGGAACCGGGCCTCCCAGAACATAGGGCCATCCTCCTCTGCCTCTCTTCATTCCCAGTATGCTCTCATTACCCCTGTGAGCAATTCTGAATGTGCTTCCAATTTCTACCCCCCATATTCCCTCTCTGCTGAGACTGAAGGGGACCCTAAACTCAGGGCAAGCTCACCAGCTCCCACACCTTCCAACACATCAGACTCTTTGGGCAACCAAGCTGATGGGCTGGACAAAAAGCCAGGGGGCGACATTCCCAAGCCTTCCTGGCCTTTAGATCCGCCAGGTGGACAACCTGAGGGAGGGATGCTAGGAACCCACCGAGGCTGCAGCTGCTCACCCATCAGCACATCCATGTTCCACGGGACCCCCAGTGATGAGACGCATGCCCCGCAGACCTCCCAGCCATTGGGCAGCCAGGGAGTCTTCTCTGAGGTCTGCTTAGAATGCAGCAGATACTGTCCCACTCCCCCAAGGACATGGCCTTTTGTCAAGAAGCACGCTTCTTGCAGCAGCAGCTCCAGTGCTGACTGCGGGCCAGGTCGGGGGGAGCTGGGGGAGGGAAAACTTGATGTGTGGCACCCACAGCCCCCCAGCTGTCAGCCAGGGGCCGTGGGGAAAGCAGTCAAAGCCTCGAGAAGGGGCAGCTCCAGCTGTGGTCCCAGGTCTGGGAGAGTATTCCAGAGGAAAGTTGCTGGTGGAGGGAAAAGCCTGGAGGAGGAAGAGAGAGATGGCAGAAAGATGCTGGGTGCTCTGCCCCGAGCCTCACCAGACACTGTGGTCCGTGAATGGTTGAGCAACATCCCAGAGGAGCCCATACCCATGAAATGTGAAATGGTGGGTGACAGCACAGATGTGGCAGGGGATGACCCAGAAGACCCCAAGGAGGATCCCGTTGGCCGACATTCCCCAGAATGTCTAGGGGAGCCAACCCAGGTCAGACAATTGTTGCACGAAGGTGCTGCCAGCGAGAAAGCAGAACCAGATGGAGCCCTCCCAGTGCTTGGTGATGCTCATTCCAAGTCAGGAGAAGGTCTTCCTTGTAGCGGAGTTTCACAAGACCCCAGGGAGGCTGGATCAGGCAAAGGGATGGCTGTGGACCGTGGTGTGGGCCAGTGCATGCTTCCCCACAAGCTCTCTGCCTCCATACAGGTCATGAAGGCACTGATGGGCTCCAAGCAAGGCCGGCCCAGCAGCCTCCCTGAAGTGTCCAGTGCAGTGGGCAGGAGGCTCAGCCGATCTGCCCAGGCCCTTATCACCTGTCTTGCTGGGCTCCACTTCTTTGATGAAGACCTTGGGTCTCCCACTGGCCAAGTGAGGTTCATAGACTCTCCTCGGTACCAGGAGCTCTTGAGCATCTTCCAGGCTCTGTGGCCAGCGTGTGGACTCAGGCGAGGTGAGGTGAACTCCGGCCCTTGGGAGCTGGGCCGGTGCCAGGCTCTGCCAGGCCTCAGGTCCCATGTCATGACTGAGGACCTCACACCAACGTCCTCATCTGGTGTGGATGTCGGCAGTGGCTCCGGAGGCTCAGGGGAGGGCAGTGGACCCTGTGCTATGGACTGTGCCATGGTCCCTGAGAGGATAACACTGCCCTTGAAGATCCCCTCCCCGAGACAAGATTCTAGAACCTCTGAGAACCGAGAGGATTCGCGAAACCAAGAGCCAAGTGGTTCCACAGCCTCTTCAAACTCCCAAGCATGGGCTTGTGCCACCAGAAAAGATGAGGCAGAAAGAAACAGTGGACAGCATGTGCTAGGCAGTAACCTGGACCCAGTAGTTGACAACACAATGCAAGAAGAGGAGGTACAAGTAGAGAAGAAAGTCAGAGAAGAAAAAGAAATAGCAGAACTGCAAGGAGAGGGTGTCCCAGGATTTCCAGAAGAGGAAACAGTCATGGGACAAGAATTGTCAGAGGCCAACTCTCAGGCTGGGGAAGGTGCACCAGAAGATAAGAGTGTGCAGGAAGAGGAAGCAGGAGACCCTGCCTCCCCCACACTTTGCCCTCCAGGGAGGAAAGAGAAACCCACAGAGCCCCCTAGGAGCCTCAGCGAGGGGCATTCAAATGCCAGTGAAACTGAGAGTGACCCCAAAGTCGAGCCTGGTTTGGAGAAGCTGCCCAAAGCAGCTGAGACATGCCATGAGCAAAGCCAGGTCAAATGCACCCAGGTGTCTGGGGAGAAGAGCTCTTCTGCGGTCCGCAGGGTGTCTCTGGACCCCGACCCCCTCTGGGTGTCCAGGTTGCTGAAGAAGATGGAGAAGGCCTTCATGGCCCACCTTGCCAGCGCCACAGCTGAGCTCCGAGCCCGCTGGAGCCTGCAGAACAATATCCTGCTGGACCAGATGGTAGCAGAGTTGCATCAAGACCTGGGCCGGCGGCTCGAAGATAGCATCGAGAAAGAGCTCCGGAAGGTCCAGAGCCGGGCAGGGGGCAAGATGCAGGGGCCGGCCAGGGAGGGCCTCAGGTGGGAGATGTCCCTGCAGACAGAGCAGCGCAGGCGCCGCCTCCAGGACCTGCGCCGCCTCTCGGCCTTCTCCAGGCAGGCTCGAAGCCAGGGGCCGCTGGCCCTCCCCACAGAGGATATGCCAACCGTCAGTGGAGCCCTGGGGGCCTGGCAGGCTGGGGAGGCTGAGGAGGAGGAGTTTTGTCCCTGTGAGGCCTGCATGAGAAAGAAAGTGATCCCCAAGTCCCCAAAGGACACAATGGAGGCATCCAGGGCACCCATCAAAAAGGCCTTTGACCTGCAGCACATTCTACAGAAGAAGAAAGGGGGATGCACTAGTGGGGAGGCCAAAGAGGCAGCCCCTGAGAAGAGAGGGATGGAGCCGCTTCAGGGGCACCCCTTGGGGACAGGGACTGTCCAGGAGTCTGATAGAGGCCTGGAGTTGGGGTTAGACCAGGACTCTGGGACAGAGGAGGGGGGTGAGGGTGAGAGCAGTCAGACCCTTGGTAGAGAGGGAGACCCCCGAGTGGGACAGGGGGAGGCATCTGTTCAGAAAAGAGAAGGGAGCACAGGTGGGCCAGGCAGCATCCCAGAGGGAGCAGGTGGGGAGGAGCTGAGCTCTGGGGGGAAGGAAGAAAACACAGAGGAGGGCTCTGGGGCTGAAGGCAGTTTGGAAGGTGAAGACTCAGGAGGAGGTAACCGAAGCCCAGGAGATCAGAAGGATGGTGACAAAAGTGAAGAGATCCAGGAAGCTGAAGGCGAGGGGCAGCCAGAGTCAGAGGGAGAAGGAGAAGAGGAGAAAGAAGGTAGCCCTCAGGTCGACTGGGGCCAGGGCCAGCCAGGTGAGACTTCTGGAAACAGCAGCCCAGACCCAGAGGGGAAGCCAGCGCTGCCCCCTACCACAGGTGCAGACAGCCCCCGCCAAAGGGCAGTCTGGAAAGCAGGCCTTGCCTCCTCCAGCATGGCATCTCTGGGAAACTGCTCTCAGCTCTCCCAGAAAGGTTCGGAAGAAAAGCCCTTGAACGGAGACATGAGGAGCATTGAAGAGGAGTCCGAGGAAATCCCTGGTCCAGAGAGAACCGGCACAGGCATGTATCCAGAAAGCTCCACTTCTGAAAAAGAAGGGGGCCCCTCGGGCCCAAGGACTCCAGAGCAGGAGGCAAGCAAGGCCTCCGGCCTAGAAGCTGCGAAGGTAGTTAAAACTATTGCTTTCACAGAAATGGGGTTTCAAAACCTCCCCGTGGACCGGACAGATGGCTTTGGCCAAGATGACTTAGATTTCTAGAGACCCAGCTGCAAGGCCGGTCATGAGTCTGTTTTTATTAATATTTTGTCCACGGACCTGGCTCGGTCCCCTGGAGGTGTACAAAGAACATGGAGAAAGATCAGGACTTGCCAAGGACACAGCCACACCACGCTGTCCCTGGCTTCTGAATTCTGGAGCTGGCCAATCCCATGCGCGGTGTGACAGAGGGTTATCTCAGATCTCCCTGTTATCCGAGGTCAGCTGGACCCCTCCATTTTCCTGCTGAGCCCAGGAGGATGGAACTGACTGGAAGTGTTCCAGGAGAGTTTTTGTTTGTGTGTTTTTATTTATTTATTTTTTTGCTCTCATTCTTTTGCCTATTGATCTGCAGTTATTTTTCTCCTTGGCCTCTCTTGGCATTCACCTCGTTCGACTTTGAGGTGCTTTTTTCTAGTCTTGAATATATTTGGTGACTCTGCAGATGTGAATACTTAGAAGAAATGGATAAATTCAGGGGTCATTGGATAAAGTTTTTTCTCAGCCCAAAAGTCCATGTGTATTTCCTTTATTCATGCATATATGCATGAATATACATACTGGCAATGGAAAAAATTGGGAAAGGAAAAAAAAAAGGATGAAGAAGGAAAATTATCACCCATGGTTCCATCATCCAGAGATGACAAATGTTAGCAGTTGGATATAATTCCTTTGCATTTTTTCCTAATGATTTAATAGTTGAGCAAACCTTTATACACTTGTGTTTTTTTTTTATTTAGCAATATAAGAATTTGCCCTATTTATCTCAAAATCTTCATAAAACTATTTTTTTCTTAAAACTATTTTTGATGCCTGAATAATTTATGATGCAGATTTTACCTCTTCATTTCCCTAGTGTGGACCATTTAGATGGGTTTCATTATTTTATTTTATTTTTCTTAACATTTTTCTGCATGAACTGCAGATGATTTCCCTAGAATAGATTCCCAGGCTTGGAATTACTTAGCCAAAAATATCAGCTTTTTTAGGCTTTTGATATCATGCTGCCAAATTGCTTTTCTAAAGGTCTGTACTAATTTACATCACCTGGCCCACCACACGCTCATCAGTGTTTGGTATAACCATTAAAAATGAGAAATCTTTTACTAATTTTATGGGCAAAAAATAGTACCTGATTTTAATGTGGTACTATTTTTGATATATTTGATTGCTAGTGAGATTAAAGAGCTTTCTACATTTATTAAAAATCTATTTGCATATAAATTTTATGTGTATGCCTTTTGCCCATTTTCAACTGGGATCCTAGATTTTTTTTTGATGAATTGATTTACATGTGCCCTTTATAATTTTTTGCTAATATTCTATTTATCATTTTTGAGGTTAAAAAAAATGCCCTTTCTCTGTATCCTTCCACAAGAAGCCTTGGACCAGGCTCTGTCTGAGTAGGGAGCTTCCGATGGGGCAGTTTCTTTGACCGATTCTCAGCAGTGTTCTCACTCATACATGACATTTTATGTATTTATAATTATTAAAGTGGAGGTTGATGCTACAAGGACAGGTATTGCTCTCTGGTTGCTTAAATGTAAATATTAATAAAAATAAGTAAAAAATTAAGATTAAGTGAATGTTGGGTATAGGCTGTGTCCTCATGCCTGCAGTCACCTGGTTCTGTTTCTGCAAACTGGAGATGTTCTTAATAAAATTTGATGTGTTGTAAAGTTTTCTGTGGAGGTAATTCTTTTTTTTTTAAGATTTTATTTATTTTTGGGTGGAGAGAGGAGCAGAGGGAGAGGGGCAAGCAGGCTCTATGCTGAGTACGGACCCTGACTCGGGGCCTGATTCCAGGACCTTGAGATCAAGACCTGAGCCAAAATCAAGATCCAGATGCTTAAATGACTGAGCGACCCAGATGCCCCTGTGGAGATGAAATACACACACACACACACACACACACACACACACACACACGCACTGGTGCCCTAGCCAGAAGCCCTCAGCAGAATAGATTGCATTGTGAGCTTTGTTTAAATGTGGTGATACACAGAGTTGTCTGGAATCTGTCACTACTAGTTGATATGACCTATACATCATGCACTTCTTCTGTGGCTTGAGATGCCCAGTCATTCCCTAAGAGATATTCCAATCTTTCTACTTCCTAATCTGTGCTGCCCAAATGATGAAGACAGCCGTCCATGGCACTCACTGACCTGGCACTTCATTAAAATGGCACTGTCCATCTGTGAACATGAGAATGCAATGGAAAAGAGTAAGGGATTTAGAGTTGCGTGACCTATAGGCTCAAGTTCTAGTATTAGCACCTCAGCTTCAACATCTGTGAAAATAATGTTTTCCTCACTGCATTGTTGAGAAGTAGATGAGAACATAGGAAACTTCATTGCACTCATGTTGGGAAAACAGCAATACTTTTACTAGCACTGCTGTGTTTTCAATGCTTGTTATGTGTCAATTATCATATTAGATGTACATGACCCCCATACTCTTCCCAACATGTTTGTGAAGTACGTAAGTCCACGTTGTCACCCCCATGTCACAAGGGAAGTAACCAAGGCAGGGAAGACTTACCTAAACTTCTCCAAGCTCAGGAAACTCCTTAGGAGCAAAGCCAAGATTTAAACACAGATGTTTCAGAGTCTGAAGTCCTGTCCTTCCTCCATTGTATCATATTTTCCTCATTTCAATTCAGGCCCCATAAATAAATAACTTTTTTTTTTTATAAATAAATAACTTAACTAAAGGTGATCAACACTTTGTTGAATGAACTTACTGCAAAATAGTTAAGACTTAGAAAAGTAAATTAGATGGGATTGCTTTGCTCAACTGATTTTATTATGTCCTTAGTAATGTTCTACTTATACACAGATATCGAGAGCTGGAGATAAGCTAGTTTTATAAAGCTCAGTTAAACTGGAAAATTATCTCTCTGTGAGATTCTCTTTTTAGTTACAAACTCCCTTGCCTTAAGCTCCCAAATATTTCTGCCCTTTAACTTTCAAAAATCTCTGTTAATGGAAAACTCTGTGTTTTCTTCTGACTTGGAGATAAAGAATTCAGGGCCATCACCATAGGTGGGGGATCTTTGTGTCTCACCCCCACCTCTCTCTTCTGTACAATCGTACTGCACAGCATGGCTCAGACCTCTGACATGTAGCACCTCGGGAAAGTGGTGGCATTCCTGTATTCTTAGCCTGAATACCTGATTCCAAACTCGATTCATTCGTCAAAGTGTTGCCAAAGTGCTTATAACATTTCCAGCCAGAGATTTCTCCTTGAAGTAAGTTGGAGAGAAAAGTGAGTAGTAGTCAAAAGAAGTCCAGCTTTTCTCCCCATCCTCTTATTTAGCTGGTGGGGATCAGAGGCTCTGGCTCAAAAGGACCGTCTTTCAGCAGCTGGGAATCAAAGACCCCTGTGTCCAGGTCCTGTGCTCAGAGATTCTGACTTTATTGGTCTAAGTTAGAGCTTAGCACAGATATGTTGTCAGGCTCTGGGATGTATACAATATTCTATTGAGGTGGCTCATCCCTGATTTGGTCCAGCTTCCCTTTTTTAAAAAGGGAAGACCCATCCTGAAAAAGAGGATTGCTTACAGCACACAGCGGGACAAGTGGCCATGCTGAGACCAGATATTATATCTCACTTCAGACTCCTCCTTCCCAAAGCTGAGAGTCCCTGCAGAGGAATGGAATGAGCTGAAAACCCACTCCCTTGTAACCCAGACCTGTGCTCATCTCACCTGCATGCCCACCCACCCTCCTCTTCCCCCCCAATTCCCTGCATCTGAGTCTGTCCCTGAGACTCAGGCTTTATCTCCACAAGGGCCCTTCCTAGGTGTCCAGGGGAGAAGTAACCTGACCTTAGTCTGTGAAGCTTTCCAGGCAGGTGCAGCTTGGAAGGGTCACTTCCTGAGAGATTTCCAAATGAATCATAGGCCAGGGTTTCTACCTAGAGAGCTTCATTAAAGTGGACAGTTCCACTCTGAAAATTCTGATTCAGTGTGTCTGAGGTGGGACTCAGGGATGTACGTTTTCCCCTGGAAGAAACCCCACAATACCCGGCACCCCCACTGCTTCTGCTGAGTTGACTCCTGTATTCTGTGGTCAGGCCATCCCACCAGAACTGGGGTTTCTCAGAGAGGCTGCACACCTTTCCCCAGCCTTGTCAGCCTGCCAGCCCCACTCCTATACACACAGGTTCCCTGCTTTCCCTCATCATATTGTCTGCCCAGGGGTCACAGCAACCTTTCTCTGCTTCCCTCTCTGGAGAAGCAATTAGAGTGGATAAAGAGAAATCTGAACTCTACTGTTCCTCCCAGCCACCCCTAGATCCAGAGGCGCAGTTGGCAGCCCAGGCCCCTCTGGTTGTCTATGGGACTCACCTGGGGCAGACACTGACCTGGGCAGCAAATACCCCTGAGCTCATGCCCTCTCACTAACCAAGCTATCCCAGGCAGAGGGACCCACACTTCTTTGATGATTTCCACTGGAGCCCCCCCCGGGCCTGGCCTCCTGGGGTACTCAGCCCAGAGTTTTCAACCTTTGGTCTGGTGGTCATTCCTAGCATCTGAGTTGAGCCCCAGTATCCAGGGGGAGAGGGCAACTGCCTCATGCTGCTCCACCTCTGGGTAGGTCTCCACTTTCCCATTGCTTCCATACCCTCACCCTAGAGGTATTTGTAGACCTTCACCTGTGCTTTCATTCCTACTGGGATTTACAGAGCCCTATCCATAGCCTCCTGGGTTTTAAGATTTTAGACTTTGTTTGGGGGTGATTAGAACCCAAGGTGCCTGGTTTTTTGATGAGAAGGCTGAACAAAGCCCCTGCAGCTCAGGAGCATGAGCCCCAGCTGCTGCCATGCCTCCCCCACATTCATCTGTACCCCCCCATCTCAACTCACTGTCCTACACCACACTCTTAACCCTGGAATCATGGCTAGGGGCCTATTTTCCAAACTACATGGTGTTTTTTAGTCATCATCTTCCTGATTGGTAGGGCCCACCCTCCTAATGATGTCTCCCTGGCTCATGA